TCAAGTTTATAGCAAGCCCTCAAAATTGCGATTCTTAGCTCCATATCCTCCATTTCTGTCATGTTTTTTTGTCTCCGCATCTTTTATGCTTTCTTGGTGCACCCCCTTGTGGTCTTTGTGCGCAGTCTTGTTCTAGCCAAGCCTTAATTGTTGTAGTTAACACTAGAGGGATTTGACCACCAGGCCGACTGGCTGTAGGAATCAGCTATGTGGAAAACTTCAGTCCTCTGGGGAGGCGCTAGTCCAGCCTTTGCCTGAGGCAATCGGCAAATGGCTCTGCGCAGGGTTTGGGCGGGGCGGGCTCAACAGGGCGGGGGGAGGGAGCAGCTATGGCCGCTCTCAGTCCGTCTCCAGGGGCTCTGCCTCTCTGTCCCCGCAACCGCTGCAAACCTCGGAGGGACCGTAGCCAGACAGTCCCGCTTCTCCCGTTTGAGTCTGGGTCCCTAGAGACTCGCCCGGATCTGTAGCCCAGAGTCTGAGACTCACTCCCGACTGAAAACGACAACCGCGCCCTCAGCCACCAGCCCGCTTTGCGTGCGCACCGCCGCACCACCGTACCTTTAAATTTTCCACACTGCGCCTCCTCTAAGCCTCGTAATGCTGTTGTTTTTCCTTCCAGTTGAAGAGTCCCTCCTCAGCCAGCCTTCCTGTGGTTCTGGGTGATGTCCGTTCCGTCTTTTAGTTGTATTTTTGAAGTGGTTGTTCGAGGCAGCAAACTCCGGTGTTTACCTATGCCGCCATCTTGGTTTTTCTCTATATATCTTTATTCTTATGACTTCACAGAATTCCATTGCATGAGCAGAATTTACTTAACTACTTATTGCTTCATAGGCATTTAATTTGAATTCAATTTTTCAGTATTATAAATGGCAAATTTTAACAGATTTTGCCCAAATAACTTAGCCTCTATGAATATTTATTTCAAATATTTTAAAATCAGTTATACCAATTTATAAGTGGAAAAACATATTAGCAAGGTGGGAGTACTTTTATTTCCTGAGAAGTCCTATCTTTTCCTACTCCATACATATCTTTAGAGTATTGTAGATAGGTGACTTAAATCCTGTTCCTCTTTTCTGTTTAGCACTTTATATACAGAAGTGCCCCAAGACAAAGTTGTGAACTATACATTTTGGAAGCAGGTACAATGAGTCTTTCCTACATTGGTTTTACTGTTTTTCACCTGATTCCCTTTGCACGTGCCCCTTGTTTTCCCCTGTGTACGCCAGGCCTTTCATGGTGGCTTCTGGCTGGATCCCCTCTTGGAGCAGGTCTTGTTCTTCCATTGCTCTTTTTCTCTGGCCCCTCTGTTTTAAAAGGGTGTCCCAAAATTCACACAAGAAGTAATTTTTATAGAAAACACAGGTTTATAATTAAAAATTGTAAATTTTTTATTGATTCATAAAGTATACAGTATAGGGTTATGTATGGAATAGCATATCGGGTAAACTGGATTATCATGTCGCGATAGCGAGCACCATTAACTGTTATTGCCTGAGCAGCCGCATTTTCGAAGAAGAATGGTCCGATGATGCCTCCAGCCCAAAATTCACACCAAACAGTGACACGTTGTGGATGCAGTTGTTTCTCAACAATCACTCGTGGATTTTCTGAACCCCAAATGCGACAATTTTGTCGATTAACCAAGCCATCAATATGAAAATGAGCCTCATCGAAATTCAGCCACATTTATGCAAAACAGTCATGAAAATTTCAACAAAGAGTGTATATGTGCCAGCAAAGCTGTGGAGGCCATTTACCCGATATGCTATTCCATACATAACCCTATACTGTATACTTTATGAATCAATAAAGAATTTACAATTTTTAATTATAAACCTGTGTTTTCTATCAAAATTACTTCTTCCGTGAATTTTGGGACACCCTTTATGAGTGAAGATGCTGTCCAGTGTTCTACTATTCATTTAGTGCCTTGAGAGGTGATCACTCTGGCTAATCAGATATACTAACTGGTACTATGTTACTAGAGAACAGGTAACATTTTATTTTTGTTACTCCTCACCCAAGGATATTTTTCCCCCATTAATTTTCAGAGCGATTGGAAGGCAGGGAAGGAGGAGAGAGAAATATCAATGTGAGAGAGACACATAGATTGCTGCCTCCCACACATGCCCTGACTGAGCAGGGGATCAGCCAGGGTGAGAACAGGTAATATCCCATAGATCTCACTTTGTGTATTAATGAGTTCCTATAGATGATTGCATTTAGCTGAAGTGGTAGCCCAAAAGAAATTCATCAGCCATCTAAGCACTGGCAAGCACTTCCTGAGACAATGTTACTTGTTCTTGTCCTAGCTTATACAATAGTTTATTTCTCTCAGGTAAAAGAGAGTACAGTGACATTGTCTTAGTTCATGGCTTCCATCTTCAAGGTCACCTGGTACTCAAACATGTATGCTTGAATTCCAGCCATTATGTCCACATTCCAGAAAGCAGAAAAGAGGAAGCCTCTTCAGAGAGCTTTCCTAGAATATTCCACTCATATCTCATTGGCCTGATTTAGCCATGTGGCCAGCTGTCCTCTTTAAGGCAGGCATATTGCTGTTCCTCACAAAATGGAGAACCCGTACTAAGAGAGATAGAAGAATAGACAATGGGTAGGGAAGTAGCAGCTTCTCCCAGCCTGACCTATGTCTGACCTGGTGAGATGCTGGAATTTACCTTATCAAAAGTACATCCTAGTTCTCAGAGATTACATATACATTTATCCTTCCTATCCATGGTGAGCAAAGAGGGATAAAGAAGATAGTTTGGCAAAAGAGATTACACTTCTTAAGACTGTTTAACCTGGGGCAGGTGGTGTATTCTCAGTGGTGAGGTAGATAAATCATTGTCTAAGTGGGCCTTTGCCCAGGTATCCAGAGATTATGGCTGTCCTCTGTTTCCTTATTTAAACCAAGGTTTTACTCATGGATAGGAAATATGTGGCGTAAGTGTTATCTTCTCCTCCTCCTTTTCTCATGGTAGAGTTTTTCCTTGTTAAGTTAAAACATGACCTTAGAATCCTTCTCAATATAATGTTCTTAGCAGTTACTTTGGTCCAAAAGATTTGTCATTGGTGTTTAAATCTACTAGCCATCTTTAAATGCTTGTGGGGATTTTCAATCTGATAGTCTCTGGGTACAATTCTTTAATTTATGGGATAAAACTCTTATAGGTAAAAAAGGTATATATTTATAGATATCAGGCTTGGCATTCTTCTGAATTTGCACTAAATGACTATAATCACTCACTTTACTGTACATATTCTCAATCTGTTCTTTTGACTGTTTACTGCACTATGAGTTTCTTGCAGAGGTTCTCAACCTGTGAGTCGCAACAATGAAAATACATCCTGCATATCGGATATTTACATTACGATTCATAACAGTAGCAAAATTACAGTTATGAAGTAGCAACGAAAATAATTCTATGGTTGGGGGTCACCACAACATGAGGAACTGTATTAAAGGGTCGCAGCTTTAGGAAGGTTGAGAACCACTGCTAGGGCAAGACTATATCTTACCCATTTTTGTGTACCCAAGTGTCTGGCTCAGCACACTTTCAAATGTTTTATCAATAAATAAACATTGGCCCTAACCGGTTTGGCTCAGTGGATAGAGAGAGCGTCGGCCTGCGGACTGAAGGGTCCCAGGTTCGATTCTGGTCAAGGGCATGTACCTTGGTTGTGGGCACATCCCCAGTAGGGGGTGTGCAGGAGGCAGCTGATCGATGTTTCTCTCTCATCGATGTTTCTAACTCTCTATCCCTCTCACTTCCTCTCTGTAAAAAAATCAATAAAATATATTTAAAAAAAACAAACATTGGTCAAGGTCAAGTGTCTATCAAAGTAAATACTTTCCCATTATGTAAGCTGGTTACATTGTGAACTGCTTACCATTGAATAGGAAAGGGAGGCCTTATTTGAGAGGAGGTCATTGGTTGACAAGAGCATTGGTAATACAACAAAGGGTCTTGGTTATTTCATAACTGCTTTATAAACGTTTGAGTAACTGACATAGCAAACTGCCTACCAGGTAACAAGGAAAGGGCAGATATACTTTGAACAGGTTTTTTTCTTTGTTCTTGAGACTAGCCTTTTTCATTCTTTTGACCAAAGATCCAGGTCCTGGGTTAACGTGACTCAGTGTTTTCTGTATTCTAGGAGGTGATTCTGAGAGTTGTGCAAATGTCCAATTCATATTTCATGGATATGTGTATAGCTGAAGTAAGACCATACTTATGCTCTACCTAATTTAATTAAGGTGGCCTATACTCACCGATTTGTTTTTGTAAGATCTTATAAACATTTAAGTTAATACTTATATCATTTGTTTTAAATATTTTGGCTCCATTAAAAATTTTGTTGGAAAAAAAAAAAAAGCTACTACTGCTAAAAAATGTGAAGAGCATTGACTTAACTAGCTCATCCAAGTCCCATATCCACCTCTTTATAATGACCAAATTCTTAAACCCTGGTAACAAAGAAAGATGAAGGAAAAGAATTATGTCATGATTCTTTCAGCTCAAAGAGCTGGGTTGGCTCTGATTAGATCCAATCCAGGCTGATGGTTTCTAAGAAAGCTAAATGTTTTGAGGAGAGAGCCTTGGGTTGTAAGCAGTCATCTTCCCTTCCCTCTCCAGTCCCAATCCTGGGTTATATCCATCCTATTGAGGTAGTGTCCCCACATTTAGATTTCCAAGTGATACAATGTCAGAGATGGTGTGACTAAATTTCTGCATAATGCTTCTCCTCGTTGACCCACTACTTACTCTGGTCAGAAGGGCTGGGGCCCACAGAAATAACAAGGCTCCATTCTCTCTTCTCCAAGTCTAGAACTAGTCCTAAGCGATCACTTGCAACTTCAGTCAGCAAGAGAATAGAAAAGAGGAGAGAAGCAGCACTAGAGTCTCCTTTCCACTCAAAACTTCTGCAGATTTCTTCTCTCATTATTCTAATCTGTCCTTGCCCCTGTCCTGTACAGTGATACTTAGAGGTGGGGGCAGGAGGTTCAGCTGGATGCAACTAAGAGACCTTAAGGACTTTGTAATCAGAACCCCCCAGTTAGGCCATTTCTCAGTAGACTCACCTTAGACAGATTTAATTATTGGAACTAAAGTGTCTTTATTTGTAAAATGGGAGATAATAGCATAGGCTTAGATGTAAAAAATACTTAGTACACAGCTGGTGTGGCTCAGTGGTTGAGTGTCGACCTATGAACCAGGAGGTCACCGTTGATTCCTGGTCACAGCACATGCCTGGGTTGTGGGCTGGATTCCCAGTGTGGGGCGTGCAGGAGGTAGCAGGTCAATCATTTTCTCTCATCATTGATGTTTCTATCTCTCTTTCCCTCTCCCTACCTCTCTGAAATCAATTAAAAATATATACATAAATACTTGGCACAATGCCTGTCTTTTAGCAGGTATTCTATACACGACACCTTTCTTGAAGTGTCACTGTGTGTCAAGCACAAGGCATCTCTGCTTGGAGGAGTTTGAAGTGTGTGTGTGTGTGTGTGTGTGTGTGTGTGTGTGAGTGTGTAAGGGTGTGGTGGTTGGCACTCAGGTAAATCACTGGTAAGGCTTTAGCACTTATCTTTCCTCCCCAGGCCCACTGGCCAAAAGTCATATATCTGAAAAAGTCCAACAGGTGCATTTCTAAGGGAAATACAGTGGGAATGTCAAAGAGTGGGTGGAGGTGCGGTGGGAACAGAAAAGTTCCTGCAGATCAGAGGCTGTCCCATCTTTTGGTTCGAGTCTGTGGCTACCCTAACCCCCCCCCCCCCCCCAAGTCATGTCTTCCCTTCCTTCAAATGTTATTCCCACTTAACACTGCCCAGTGACCCTGCAAAAGAAAAACCTTGAGACAGACATGTCTCCTCAGTGCCATTTGATTCACCTTCTTAAGCCCTTCAAACCTTATCATTAATTGCAAATTTTATGATTAAATAAAAATTATTTAATGTGCCTAAGTGAATATGCCATATACATATGGTTTAGTAATTGGGTGCTAATGGCACCCAAAATACAAAATATCCTGATTTTCAGCCATCTTATCCACATTGTAGCCCTGAAAATCTGTATGTGCACACTCACTGACTTGTAGTTACGTTCCGGTTCATCTCTCCTGGGAGGCAAGAGTGTCAGACTACCTAACGAAGAGCCTTATTTTGTCTTGCTGCTATCTCCCCACCTCTTTTAGGCTACTCTTCAGAACTTCTTTTCTACACTTCCTTTGTCATCTTGTCAACATCAGCTCTTTGCTGCCATTTAATTTCCAAGGACATTCACCACTTATTCTAACTGACATTAATATTGTTGGATCATGGAGATTTAAAAAAATATGGCCTAATAAATGTATAAACATTACCAAGAGGGGCAGAACAGGTAAAAAAAAAAAAAGGCTGAATGTCAAGAATTAAATGAATTAGTGTTTATAAAGCCTCTGGCAAGATGTACATTTACAGATGCTGATGCCACGTAAATATTAATTCCCGTACTTCTTTTGTTCCCATCACGTCATCTTTCTGGGTCTCAGTTTCCTAATGTTAAAAATTAAGCGCATTGCACCAAGTTTCTTCGTGTTGAAAAATATTTTCCCCCCAGTCTCTCCTCACTGAGTATTTGGAAGTGGGTGGTGGGTGGAAAGGTTACTTCTGCCCCAGACAGGCCAGGGGGGGGGGGGGGGCGCTTGGGGCAGGTCCCCCTGCCAGGGGCTCACCTTTAACTCACTTCGCGGCCACGACTCAGGCAGGGGCCAGCAGGCCTGAACGCAGGAAACAGGGGGCTTGGTGTTACTTACCTGTCTCCACCTCTCATCCTCTCGGGGGGACACACAAGTGCTTGCGGCTGACTCCACACTGAAGCAGCCCTGGG